CGATATTGATGAGTAGGGTGGCCCAGCTGACGTAGCGCCTGCGGTAGTTGGCGTGTCTCCTGCACTTGGTAGGAAAGGCGTCAAGAGGAAACTCTCCACGCCAGTAGCTGTCGGTACACCCGCTTTTGTTGTGCCCCGTGTCCATGTCCGCAACGGTAGTTGAGGCAAGAGATGAAACAAGAAAAAAAACAAAAGATCAGAGAAGACCTAGCATAGGGAGCCATCAGACACGAGATAAGACGAGATACAACGCAAGAGAGAAGACCCGAGATAAGACGACACCAAGGAATCTACTTGTATGTAGTAAGACAGGAGAGCACGAAACGCGTTAAGTATGCATACGGCGCGACGCAACACCGACGGCACGATGACTCGCAAGGCGGTTGCATTCTTGACAACAGTTTCCACGTGCGAACAAGTTCATCGACCTACAGTATGCCCAGACTCTGAGGGTGTATCTTGCAATGCCGCATTGAATATTTTTTCTCGGGATCAACAACACAGCTGGGCATGCGGAGAAAAGGCGAAACATCTATAGGAAGTGGAACAGCAGTAACGGTCGGATTGGATGAAGACACATTTTGGTTAACGCCCGTGTTCACGTCTCATTACCATTCCACCCATGTGGGTACACTCCTACAGCAGTACGACTCCCGCCCTTCCATGCCGCATGGGGCTTTGGGTTTATGATGGAAAACGTTGCCGAATTCAAAATAAACAGCAGTCCAACGGCTGCTTTGCTGCTTTCTGCGGTAGACTATGGTATTGCACGTACGTACAAGACGCCAAGATAACCGGTTCAGAAAAGTAAGAGGGGTAGGCAGCGAGTGAACCAATACACACCGCACGTCAGGTTCATAGACAGTCGTTCTAGCCCGTTGCGGCACAGAAGTCACCATCACCAGAAGCATACACGTGGGTTGCCTCGAGCGAATCTGCTGTGCAACCAACCCTACCGCAATCAACGTCTTGACAGAATCACGAGCTAAAGTAGGAATGCGGCGGGGGCGATTGATTCGCAAGTGCGGTGATCATAAGAACTGAAGTGTCTCAGAGAGAGCAACACATGCATACAAACAGGCGTTTTTCCAGAACGACTACAGTACAACGGCGACAGCAACAGCAGCGTTCAGAGCTGTTTGTTGCTGAGTCAAGAACAAACGTGGTATTGTAAGAGTGAGTGCACACAAGGCACAAGAGGTGCAGCTCTTCACCCAACTTCAAATACCATCAACAGCAGTGCACATGCATGGCGCTAACCATCCGTCTTCAAGTGGAGAGGGGGTTCACGACGCCGAGTGCCCCTGACTGACACACGAATGGACGTCTGCACGACATGATGCGCTGCTGCTGCTGCTGCCAACGCCCCCCCCCCTCCCCCCGAAGTTGGCGCGCAGAGTCCTAAATACGTACGTGCTTTCGGCTGCTTCTTTTTGCAGCTGCTTTTGCAGACTTGCCTTGTCAAACTTGCAGGTGAAGGCAACAAAAAAGAAGGCCAATTGAAACACCACCGTCACGGCCAGTGTGATGAGCAGCAGGTTGTCGTCATTATCGAACGGCGAACCCATCTCGATCAGGCCGGCAACGATGACGGCAGCAGCACGTCTTCTCGAAGCTCCAAGCTGCGGGCTGGCAAGGCGATCCCGCTCGCAACACGTCTGATGTCTGGTGGAGGCTCGGTGTGTCCTTACAGCCTGGGATACTGGTGCAGCTGCACACTAAGTTGCGTCTCCGGGGGGAGTGGTTGAGGGTCGAAGCCGAACAGCTGGTACAGCCGACAGCAGATGCAGGATGCAGGCGGCGAAATGGGTAAAAAAAACCGCGGCTGCGGCGGGCGGTTTAACCACAAACGCTTAGGGTATTATTCGTTCCTAAAATCGATTCTGCCTCGGAGACAAATGCATCAAATTCTGCTCTCGATCTAGCATATGCACACTACAGATGTATGTGAGGTTTCGGCGAATGAATGTGCCTGTGCCTACATAGACTACAGCAGTAAATCCCGTGTGTCTTCCTCTCAGCAGCGTGCAGAATTGGCCAACGAAACTTGAAATGCAATGTAGACTACACATATACTACGTACTGCTCATTTGCCGACCAAAAATGGGTTCCAACGCCATGCAGCAGCAGACTAGTAGTTCACGTGGTGAAGCGATCCAAGGCGGGCTTTGCGTCCGTTCCCCATTGCGTTCATTCAGTGCTCAGCCATTCGGGCCTGGGACACAAGCTGATAACAGGAGGTGGTATCATCGAGAAGGTTTGTGGCACCTCCCTTCTAAGCAACAACAATTTTTTCGTGAACGGAAAGAAACCCTTCGTCGTGGCTCGCAGCAGATGAGAAGCGAAAAGTCTGCCTACACAAGTTGAGAAAAAGCACATCATCGCCGTGTCAGCAGAAGCATACGGATTAGAGCGGTGTTACTCGTGACAGTAGAGTAACCGCCTCTACTGCAGATCTGCTGTATTAAGGGTCACCAGCACACTATGGCATGGATTCCACATCGAGATTAACGTCAATTTGTGCTCCACACATGGAAGCAACAACAGCACGAACCGCAAGGGAGCAACACAGTCTAGACTAGAGGCGGCACAGCTCGTGTATCATCAGTGGTCCTGTCATCCCGAGGAAAAAAGACCAGCACCCCGAAATCGTAAGCACCTGCTCGCAATTCCTCTCCCGTAGAAGCAGAAGCACCAACCACTAAACGGGCAACAAAGACCTTGTGCTATTAACAACATCAAGCAGCTGCCACCAGCCCAAGCGAAAAACGGCAATATAGTGCGTAGCAAACGCCATACATAACGGCCGCTCGCTGTCTTCTTCAACCACCGTTCGTTACAGTGCGCCTGGCCTGCCCCCCCTGCGTCATCTTACCGGGGGAGGGGAGCACACAGACAGAAAGCATGCCCGGCGGTTATCCGGAACAAAGACGGTGCAATCCCCCTTCAACAGACGACGGATAAAATTCCAACCATCCAGGCAACATCTCGTAGACGCGGCCGTGCGACTGAGTCTTCCTCTGTAGCATCACGTGCCTCCAGAGCTACGAGACGCTGCTGATCCTAATGTGATCAATCTAATGCGACGGTGCTGATCCTAATGTGATAAAATCTAATGTAAAAAGCGCAGACCCCCGGAGGGCACTCTAGACCTCCTCACTGGCCCTTGTTTAGTCATTGCTATCTGGCGACACCTTTCTATCTACGGAGGCATCTTTGGGGTGGCATTTCCCCGTGGTTACCAAACCGGATGTGATATTCCATGGAATGTTCAATTCAAGGTCGCGTCTCTTCCTTCCGCTTTGAAATATGGCGTCTTGAGTCTTGACCAAGCAAACGTCAAGACAGGGTGTGCCTCTGATGGTGGTGGGTGGCGCTTGATCAGAAGCGCATGTCGCTCAAGTCGTCGCTTTCGTCGCTCTCGTCGCTCTCGTCGTCGTCGTCGCCATCGTCCTACAAAAACAAAAACAAAAAACAAAAGAAGGTACAGTATTATGCCACGAAAATGTTAAAGTTACCCCAGGAATGCAAGCGTGAATTACGTATTTGGAGTTCTTCACTGCGTTTCAGTTGCAGACAGATTTGGCGTTGACGCCACACATAAACAATATACATCTTTTTAGAGCGCGCCAAGGAAAATGAATTGGCAGTCAAACCGTTTGCAAACGTGGGTCGCCGACAAGAAAGGTCATAGATACCGCCGTCCATCGGCACGGCAGAAAACATCATGAAAACAAAACCACTCGGGTACGGCTGCACCCCAGCCAAGTGCAGGACTGCAACACCGGTATCGCAGGTATTGGCAAGCAGCATATGTAGACTATCCTACCTCTACACCAGTCTCTGATACAATACTCCGCTCTAGACACGCGCACAGTGGACGCTTACCAACGCCAAAAAACGACAAGCATTGCGAGTCCAAACAGAGAATCAAATAAAAAACAATGAACGAGTGTGTCGAGTCTGGTTGGTGCTCACCCAGTCTCCTCCTCCCAAGGTCAACCCGACCTCCGGCACGGCTCGCTTCGACGCTGGCTTCTTCTTCTTCTTCTTCTTCTTGTCCTTCTTTGTCTTCGCCTGCCCCTTTCCATGCTCTCGATACGCCTGCGCCAGACAGTGGAGGTGGGCAGATTAAATTAGGGGAAAAGCCAGACGCGGAAACCTTGTTAATCGGGTCCTTCCAAACACAATCCCATTCTTGTTCAACGCAGGGATGCATACCATCAACCGGGAATCGGTGCAACAGCACCAACAGCCCGAGACGAACTTATGCCCTTGTAGACCACGACCGATGTTTCTTTGCATGCATGGACCATTAACACCAGTCACAGCCGACCCTGACTCAATATCCAACAACACCCATCGGTACAGCAGCGCACGCCGCAACAGACACTTGAGACATGGCCGCTCCCTACCGTTAAATCAACCCTTCTCGCCCTACAACACTCGCCTCGTCGCCTGTCCTCGTGAGGTCGGCCTTATCGTTGACTGGCACTTCTTTACCCTAAGCCTGAGTCCAAGGCTAGTCCTAGCCCAACCGTAAAGCTGGTTGCCTACATGTAATGCTAGCCTTTTACAGCTCCCCTTGCCGTCTCCCCTGTGAGTTCTGCCCGTCCTCAACCCGCACTCCTTTGCCCCAAGCCTGACTGACCCTAACCCTACTCCCGGCCCTGTTACCACTTCCCTCGTCGTCTACCCTCGCCAGGTCGCCCAGTCCTTGGCCGGCACTTCTCTACTTCTCTACCATAAGCCTAAGGCAAGCCCGAAGCACTCGCCTCGTCGTCTGCCCTCGCGAGGTCGGCCTCTCCCGACTCGTCCTCCATCTTGTCCACCACCGCCACCACATCCCCGTCCTTGAACGAGTACGGCGCCTCTCGGAGGTTGGTGACCAGACGCTTGCCCTTCTTCCCCTTCTTCATCTGGGAGCAAGTTGCAAAAAAAAAAGAGAGAGAGAGAGAGAGACGGGTACATGAGAGATCGGTCTCAATTGCTAGAAGCAGGTAAAGATGAGTGGCACATCGAAAGAGGGAGGGAGAGAGAGAGAGAGAGAGAGAGAGAGAGAGAGAGAGAGAGAGAGAGAGAGAGAGAGAGATTGTCGAAAACTGGGGGAAGTATTCATGGCATGGCATTCATGGCATGGATTGGCGTGCCATGACAGGGCATTGATGCTGAATCATTTACTCGCAACCTGCTGCTTTCTTGCTTCGTAATGACGAAAGACAGCAGAGGGCCGGCGAGTTGATAGCCCCCTCCCTCGTCACCTGAAAACATCATGACATCATAACATCATCTGGTAACAGTATCTGATAACAGAATCTGATAACATCATCTGATAACATCATCTGATAACATCATCTGATAACAGCATCTGATAACAGCATCTGATAACATCATCTGGTAACAGCATCTGATAACAGAATCTGATAACATCACCTGGTAACAGTATCTGATAACAGAATCTGATAACATCACCTGATAACATCATCTGATAACATCATCTGATAACATCATCTGATAACATCATCTGATAACATCATCTGATAACATCATCTGATAACAGCATCTGATAACATCATCTGGTAACAGCATCTGATAACAGCATCTGATAACATCAGCTGATGACGTCATCTGATAACATCATCTGAAAACAGCATGACCTCATCACCAACGCCTTCTATCACGCTATGTACGCCATGGACTTCAGTCGAGCTACAGTGGGGGGCCCTCAATTTTATGCCGGAATGTGCCTGGCGCATCGACCGGCGGCGCTGTTCAATGTGCAGAATGACTTGGTGATTTCGAAGGTCTGTGCCCAGCAGTTTTACCGGTGCTGTTCAGGGCCACCGGTGCTAATCATCCGGCGTTGTTGACGCCCCGCCACTACTATATGTTCATACTTCGGGGCGGAAGCAGTAGTTACGCGATCAAATGTAACTATCAGCCGGCCTCCTCCTCTTCTTCACAACCGACACGGGACTAAAGACGATCCTCTTCAAAACATGCAAAGAAAAAATAGCTTCTGCGCAGTGTACTCTATAAACAACATGAGCACTTCTTCGCGCACGGTGAGACACACAGCAACGCTATCAAACCCGACAAAAACCGTCCAATCCTACAGATAACAATAGCAATAACGCCAACTTTAATGCTTCACCTTCTTGATCCCCATCTCGCGCGTGAGACGAACCCACTGGTGCTTGCCCCAGTTGTGCTTGATAGCCCGCACCCGAGTCGCCGGTATCCCGTAGGCCTTCCCCAGGGCCTCGTGTAGGTTGTCGAGGGTTGGCTGCGAGACGTCCTCCACGATCACCTGACGGTTTCAAGCGCAGACACAACTAGAGCTTAGTTCTAACTGGTCGATACGTAGTACGGTGATTCCAAGTACTTGGTATGGAGTGCTGTTTGGTCCTTTTTAAGCTCTCTTTGCTAATAAAATGGACTTTCTTCAGCAATGTTTTACAACAACAGCAGAGTGCACAATATTCGCCAACATCTACGCTGATCAGCTACTTCCGACTTCAAACCGAGCGTGTTGAACCACAGGTCAAAGAGCCAGCTGGCATGGGATCATCGATGCAAAAGGGGTGGACTGCATGCAAATCACGGTGGGAATCCGATGCCATGGACATATGGCCATTGATTGGACCAAAAGACCGAAAAGGTTGGAAGAGCGGGGTACGCGAAGGAAACGAGAAGCACGCACTGTAGGGGGCGAGACGGAGAAGAAGCAAATGCCAACAAGTTACCGCTGAGGCGATGGAGAAAACCGTTGGAGGGCAAAGCGTCACTGAATCCACCGCAACATCCCGGTCCAGTCGATTCACGTGTCCAATCAAACTACCAACCAAGGCACCTACCACCGACAATAACACTGGCGCCAAGATCGACAATACACACACCAAAGCAGCAACGAGCGGCCACGGACAACAACAACGCCACCGATATGACCACCTGTCGACGCATGCAGCCTGCAGCCTGCCATGCCTGCAACCGCAGTCTTCTCTTCGAAACCTTCCCCCCTCCTCCAGCACACCTGTCCTTCTCAAAATCCGCCAAACGTCTACAAAATCAAACCAGCGTGGGCTGATCATCACCTCCTTGAGCGGCCCTGGCCATTCCGGCTCGTCGATCGGCAGCGTGCCTCCGTCCCCAAGCGGGTTCTTGCGCCAGAACGTCCAAAGGTGCAGGTCGGTGACCGGGTCCGTGCGTCGCCGTTCCACCTCATCTTCCCTCTTACGGAGAAGGTCGGCGAGCGTTGTCTCTGGCGAAGCCATCGCAGTAGCAGCGACTGCAGCGGCGGAGCTTCCAGAGGCTGATGCTGAAGCCGCGCCTGCTGCTTCTGGAGCGCCAGTTCCCGCCCCCGCGGACCCTGGCTGGCCGGTAGAGGACGACGCGGCCGACTTCTTGCCGGCGCCCTTTCCTCCGCCGCCCTTTTTGCCGGACGACTGTTGATGATTGTTAGCATTGTTGTTGTTGGCGAAGCTCAGAGATATATCGTTACTATTCGCTAGAAATGAGTGGCGTTTAGCGACAGAAGAGTTGGAAACACAGGTGCGATCGGTTCTGCTGCAGCTGTTGGATCAAAAGGGGGCCATGTTACATGTTACCACCCCGTGTTCGTCAAGTGTTCGTGAAAAGGGAGCAGAACAACAACAACGACAACACAAACAAAATAACAGAAACAACAATAGCAACCACGACTTGTCCTTCATTGTCCAGCACTAAGCTTTCTTGTGCTCCTTGTATCGGAAGAACAGTCAGGGTTTTGCCGCACCTCCGCGCTTAAAACGCAACCCGGCGTGCAGCCATTGATCGGTACACGACAACAAAAACAAGAACTACAGCAGTACGTCCAGTTGGTACTAAATAATGACGCTGCTGCTGCTGTTACTGCTGCTACTACAGCAGCAGCTCCAACTACAACGCTAGCAAGCAACAATAGACACTATTATACTCGGGCGTGATCTCACATTGGCATTGCCGCGAGCCTTGGGAACGCCCCAGTCCGAGGCCTCCAGTTCCTTGTCCGTCTCCTTTTCCATCGCGATGCTCTCCTGCTCCCGGTTGGACTTGAGCTGTGCGGCGGCGATGGCGATGCCGGCGTTATCGTCCGGGGTGTCGTCCGTCCTGCCGAAACCGAACGTGGCCTGATGGCCAACCGCAAGAAAAAAAAACAAGCAGTACCATCACCACCAGCAGCAGCAGAGGCAGAGGAAGCAGCAACAGTACAGGCAGAGGCAGCAGCAACACAATATATCAATCGCCACTCCTGTGTCCGGTAACTCGGTTCTAACAGTACGGCGGTGGCACATCTCCTTCTTGCGTCATTGCCTTTTCGGAATCTTCCTTCGCGTCTTTAGGGATCAAGTTGGGGATACGGGTGTGCTGGGGTATCGACAGGGACAGGGAGAGGAGAGACAAGGGGGGGTGGGTTTCCTGTGGTACCCTTCATTCTCCGTGCCCCGTATGCGCACTCTGAGAGAAGTTACCACTTTGGTGGCAAACTTGTGTGGACAGTTTCGAGGTCTGCGAGCGACGCTGTGTCTACGACCAGCCGCAATTCATTTCTTCTTGGAACGACTCGTTCGCCCATATGAAAATAGCGCAGCAGTACCCACCGTCCAACGTTCCAAACTCCCAACGTTCCAAACGCCACAAACGAAAAACAATGAACTAAAAAACTCACGAGCCCTTGCTCATTCGCAAGTTGCCTACAATGAAAACCTGGCAAGCAACTTTGTGAGAGCATCTCAGTCATCAATATGCCTTCTTGTCCGCTGTGTCGTACACAGCTCTTTTGTCAGCTTTCCAGTCTTCGCGAACATGCGTACGTGCTCGAGAAACCCACCTTGGCGCCGCTGAAGAGTACACCCTTGACGCGAGTGAAGATCGAGGCTGACTCCAGGCCCTGAGCAGCGGCTTTCTCCCTGTCTTCTTCCTTCTCAGTCTGATTGACACCACCGCAACCCAGGGGCAAGAGACAAGAGGGTCAACACGTAGCAAACACCACCACAAGCCATAGCAAGACCACAACAAACGCCGTGGGTCTTCTCTTGCGAAACAGGATGATGACCAGGACCACCTCAGATGCTACCAAGACATTCCTCCGACTATCGACCACATCCTAAAAAAACACAAACCGGGGTTAGACTAGCCTCCTTTACTTTCCTACGTGGGGCGAAGGTCGAGTCTATAGGATTTCGTGTTGACCTTTGTGCTGACGCTGGACACCTTCTTGATTGTTACTGAACCTCAGCCTCGGTTTCTTCGACTTTTCTACTTTTCCTATGACGGGGCCAACAACGGGATGCTGGTCCAAGATCATCAGCAGATCATTTTAACAGACCGATCTGTACACCGTGGACTTTGTCCCCCAGACTGTTCGGCTGTGGGCTTAACTTCACTCAAGAACCACGTCCTTGATACGAAGCGTCAACACCAAACCAAGCAAGAGAGAGAGAGAGGGAGAGAGAAGGAGAGAGAGAGGGAGCGAGAGAGAGACAGACAGACAGACAGACAAACACACACACACACAGAGAGAGAGCATCCGCATGCGAGACTTGAGTCACCACACCTTCTTGACGCTTCTCTTCATCTTCTCCACCGCGGTCTTCATCGACTGCCAAAGCAACAGCAACAACAGCGACAACGGCATCGTCATCAAAAACATTAACCACCTTCATCGACTGCTGTCAAAACAAAACACCATCAACAACAAGATCTTCACCAACAACAGCATCATCACCATCATCACAAAATTACCAACAGCAACAATATCCCTCTCAGACGTTGCAGCATGAACACATGCCGGAGAACTAGACAGCGCCAACAAATTGTCAAGCCACGCATTCATGCTCAAGTGGCCAAAACTACCAACATCAATACGTTCGGAAAAGCCACACCCTTTCCCACTTGCAATGACATCGAAGACAGTATACAGGTTACTTCGTCACAATACTGTAGCTCACAGGGGCACCTACAAGGTTGCTCTTTCGTTCTACCACAGCTGGAAACATCGGGGGGCGTGTCAGGTCGAGGCATCAGACGGTCATCACACCCGTGCTTGTATGCATACATATCCAAGACTCGCGCCTTCCGACGAGTTCCCGTTTGTGCTGAAAGGGCTTACCTTGACTTCTTTGTCCAATGGCCGCTCCTGGCCACACGGCAGTGCGTTGTTTTGGTCATCGTCGTCGAAGTAGAAGTAGTAGTTGTTGTTGTTGTTGTTGTTGTCCGTGCGCAATGCACGACAGGAGCAGTGGTAAGGATAGATCAGGACGCGAGGCTACGAGATGACGACGTACCGTACGCCATGACCAAGGTCTGAGAAGACAGACGGAAAGACACCCAAATGCCATCCTTCACTGACTGGCTCAGACGACGGGTATACTACCAGGTGTGGTACATAAAATATAATAATAGGTGATTGGTGATGGGGGTGGGTCACTCAGACAACCGGAACACAGGAAGAAAGGAAGAAAGGAAGGAAGGAAGGAAGAAAGGAAGGAAGGAAGAGCAGACGTATCCTAATCTTCGACGTGTGGCATAATGACAGCATGCCACAGCAGTAATCTGTCGATGTCAGTCTACGTTACAACAGATACCCCATCCCAACACAACCATACCGGTAGATAGCAAGACAAGAGCAGCAACCTCACCTCCTTGAGGTGGGTGTTGTCGATGCGCTCCTTTCTGGCGTTGAGCTCCTTCTTCCACGCCTTCATGGACCTGTCCTGCTCCGGGGAGCGGTTGTTCTTTGAGGCCTTGTTGTAGGTCGTCCACCCCAGCTGACGTTCGTTATCATGACATCGTGACATCGTGACATCAAACATAGTCAGACCACACGGCCGCACAGGGAGGATTAGATTTGTGGGATGGACATGCTCTTAGACGCTATCAAACACCATTCGCCAGCTTCATCAAGAATCAGAGCCAACACAAGATACAGTACTTGACATTTTCTTTTCCTTCGAGGACAGTGGTGATAGGTTTGACCCATGCCTTGCACACACGAGTTAAATACATAAGAATTGGTTTGTTTACGCATGATTCGTTCACAGCGACATGCACAAAAAGTTCCCACAAAGTAAAACGTCAGCCTATCACACGCGAATGCGACTCATCACATCAAGTAACCGTCTTCCCGTGCCTATGCATACCATACGCGTATTGAACGTTACGATGGATACGACGGGTCAGTTGGTTGGATAACACCCGAGCACCGTTAGCGGCAGTTACGCGGGAGGACGCGAACCAAACAATCTTAAAGCACGGTGAAGTAAAGGTGAAGTAAAGCCTGCAGTACTGTACAGTGCTACAAGTACACTGGGATGGCGCGTTGGCACACAATCATGTCAGTACTCGGCGGCGCAAGCGGCGGCAGTACTTTAGCGTAGCATTGACACGACATCGAGAGAGACGAGAGAGTACTTTTCCTACTCTTGATCTGTGCCATTGCTTTTCGGGTTGTACAAGCTTGTACTACAATACTGTGTCGCTTTTGTCACCACGTAAAACGGTGTTTGGTATAGAAAGAGGAGTGGATACAGAAACACTCCATGCACACACTTTGGACTGGATAAGTAGACGCTGGGTACAGGATAGATGGATGGAAAGACAAGAATGACAACAAGAACGACAACCTGTTGCTGCATGGCATCTGCAACCAAACAACAAACATCTAAATTTCACCTTCCGCCTGCCTTCAAAAGCCTGTCCACGACGATGACGCCAGTATCGTTCACAACGCTTGCATGGCATGGACCAAAACACTCAAGACCCCAACATGTCAGAAACCAAACGATATTCACACATTGAATGTTCCCATGCAACTTCCACGTGCAGCAGCAGCAGCAGCAGCAGCAGCAGCAGCAGCAGCAGCAGGCACAGCGAAGCTCGGCATGCTATGCTCTTTCAAAACAATCACGGCAGCACCCGAACCACGCGCAGCCAGCACCCGCCCAAAAACGAACCGCAGCCCGACATGAAATGGAATAAACAAAATGCGCGTGCTTTAGACTGCCAGAATGAGAAAATTCCCTATGCATACAACCCAACTTAAAGCCACGAAAGCCAAGAACAATGCCCCCCCCCCCCCCCTTCCCCGTCCTTACTTACCTCCAGGGCGCGAATGTCGACGTCCCTCTTCTTCTGCATGTCTTCCAAGTTAGCCTCGAGCGCTTGCAACTGCCGCTGGGCCTCCTGCAGCTGTTGCTTCTGCTCCGGGACAACGATCAGAAGGATAAGGGAAAGGGTAAGGGAAAGGGAGTACACGAGTGACATGCAGAAGCTCTCCTATCAACGATTTTGGTAGTCTGTTACGGTAGTAAATACAGACCGTTGTTGTCCCATTGGGCTTTCCCGAAGCATGAAAGATAAAACTAGCCCTCGCGCAAACTGACCGTTGGGTGTCACAAAGGTGCACATACGACAGCCGTCCCATGGAAGAAGGATGGCTGGCTCTCCGAAAAGTAAATATTCAACGCCCAGTGCAAAACATCACTACAATACTTGAAGATGATGGGTGATGACGTCATCGTTAAGGAGCGCACCTCCCACGCACATCCACCTCCATCAACTAGAACTGCAACAGAAACTCGGAAAAGGAGTTCATAGGACTTTAACAGGCTTTTGCCACAGCAGTGCCACCACCCTCTTCGGATCAGCCCAAAACCATATAGGGTTACACCAACGGTGAGGTTCAGGATGGGGGATGGGGGATGGGGGGGTTAGGGTTGGGGAGGAGAATAGCATACCCCAAACTGCCCCACCTGCTCCTCCAGCGTCGGCCCCTTCTCCTCCTCGGCAGGACCGTTGTCGCCGTTGGCCTGGCCATTCTCCAGCAACTCCTCAGCGAGTTTCTCTCGGCGAGACATGCTGGCCTCTTGCACGAGAGGGGTCTGGGGAAGCCTCGGACGCAGGCAGAGAACCAGGGCGACGCTGGAGCAGAGGTTAAGCTCCGAGATCGTCTGCCCGACAAACAGGCCTCCAGCCTGCATGTGTGTGGTGTTTGTAGAGGAGAGACGGCAGGGTCAGGATTGTATAGGGATGTCAGGGATTACTACATTAGGGTTTAGTTTGGTAGAGAGTCGGATGGGCTAGGTGGGCGTTGTCCGTCAGAGGAGGGCAAAGTGACACGTGGGGCATCAACAATCAGAGCGGGGAGGAAAGAAAGAAATACGCACGCTCCCAAATGCAGACGACCACAACAAGCGTTCGAAACAAACGACCGACTCACCGTGTTCCCCCCGACGTCGCTGCTCCTGATGATCTTCCCGGGCAGCCTGTCCTTCCTCAGTTCCCGCACCAGCATGGCCTCCTCGAGGGTCTGGAAACCCGGCATCCCCTCCGGCAGGGGTATCTCATCGTCAGAGTCCGCGCGCTCCTCCTTCACCTCCTTCACCCACTCCCTGTCGATCGACGCCGCCAACTTATCCCCCCCTCCCTCCCCCGCGGCGGCAGAACAGTTCGCACTGCTGCTGCCGAGCCCGTTCGGTGCATCGACCGTCCCGGGCACCGTCGTTTCACCGGCAGGAGGCGGGGGCGGGGGCGGCGTTGGCGTAGCGGAGGCGGCGGCGGTGGTGGTGGTGGTGGTGCTGCTACTGCTTCCGTGGGCGCCGGCTCCGCCGCCGCGGCCGTGACTGGAGCGCTTCTTTCGTGACTTGCTGGGGTTTTTGTTGTTTTTCATCATCATGATCTTGCGGATGTCCTCGAGCTCGTTGGCGTCCATCACCTCCCCGTCTGCGTCCCCCCCTCCCCCGGCTGGCGGTGGTCGGGATTATGGAAGGCGTTTTTTTGCCGTCAGGGGTGAAAGGAGAGTTTACGACAGGCGGCGGTGTCACGGTACGAAGACGAGCGAGCAACAGGTGAGGAACATTGAGCAGCCAGACATTTGAAAGCGTTCCCAGTCTCCACTCAGACCAGACCAAGCCATTGCGACCCTAACTCCCCTGCACTGGGTATTTCATTACCAAGTGAGAGATAGAGATTGTGACTCCCCTTCCGTTCCTTTTCCCTATACCTCGAACCCTGAAACGATGCAACACTCTTTAACTGCGGTAGGACACCGCGGGCCATGTCCACGAGAATCCGTGATTTCATTGCTATCCATACGATTTACGAAGATGGGCACTCTGGAAAACGGATATGTATGTGTGTGCGAAAAACTGCCGCAAAAGAAAAAACTCGAGACGAACGCTCTAGCGGTTGGCTGTGTGCAACCATCGGTCCACGAGAGTCCCTCCAAAACATCTTCGAAACTTCTCAAGAGGTTTGCCACATATGCACTCAAAAAACTTACCCTCGGCCTGCGCTGCCGCCGCCGCCGCCTCCGCCTCCGCTGCCGCCTGAGCTTCTTTGGCGGCTCTCATTGCCTCCGCCATGGACGCCTTTGTCGCCTTGCTAAGCCCCTCCGATAGCAGTCCTCTGAGGATAGCACGCAGCTCCGTGAGGGAACGGCGCTCGTCGATGTGGAAGTGGCCGAGGGTCCTCATAGATAGCTGCCGCTGGAGGCTCAGCAGCTGAAAACGTTGTCGCCGGTTTTGTTGTTGAATTGTTGAGTTTCCGGAGAAAATTTGTTGCGGAAGACGGGCAAAGGAAAAAAGAGTGGCCCCAAGTTAAGTTGGTTGATAAATTAAATTGGACACATCAGATAACCGAATGGAAGGGGCAAACATTCGGTCAGAGAGGCATGCAAGAAAGGTCAAGAGCCCCCACGAAACGGACCAAAGTCCTTTCGCCACAAAAAAAAAAAAAAAGGACACCCACCCTAACGGGGTCCCCGCGGAATCTCTCCACGTCCCCCTTCTTCCTCGCCGCCTCCTCATCCGGCCAGACCGCGCTCGGCGACAATCCCGTGGGCACCGAGCCCACCTCCCCCCCCTCCCCCTTCCCGCCGCGCCCCCCCCGCGCCACCTTCGAGGACGAGGTCGTGGACCGGTTCCGGAGGGCAGACTTGCCCCCCGCCGCCGCCGCCGCCGCGTTTCCCCTCGCGGGGTCGGCTGGGTCAGCGGCCTTGCCATCGCCATCGCCATTGCCAACGTTGGCGTCGGCTGCAGCGTCGGAGATTTCGGAGATCTGGGAGACCTTCGCCTTGAGCCTTTCCGCGGCGGCGGCGGCGGCGAGCCCGAGGAAGTGCGGTGCGTAGGCGAGGACCGTGATCTCCAGCTCTCGGGGTCTCGGCACGCGACCCTGAATCGCCAAAGAAAGAAAGAAAAAAGAGGGGTAAAACAAGGGATAGAGAAGAACATACATACATGTCCTCCCAGAAAACAACAGAATCAAAATCAACTAGAGAAAAACACAGTCAAAATCAATACAAAGACACGCGACACGCGCACACATGTGTATCTGTTTTTTTGTGCAGGAAGAGGAAGAAGGATGTCTTACATCTTCTAGGTATATCTCTTGGCCTCCCAAGATGCCCGACTCTTCCACCAGCCGGTCCTGGAACAGGGGTCCATCGACATCGACTTTGTGTTTATTGCCATTGTCGTCCGTGGCCGCGCCTTTGTCCGCTGCCGCAGCAGCACCAGCAGCGGTGTTGGTGTTGTTTTGATTGTCCTCGGGAATGCCGTCCTGGTTATAAAACACCCCAGTTGCAAAGAAAAAGGGCAATTGAGAAGGCGGCGCAAGAAAATGACGGATCGGCATCATCGGCAAGCGGGGCGACATACGTACAGCAGCACGCCCCTGTCGTCGACGTTCAATCGCTGCGAACCGCAACCAATTCAGGCGTATTCCCTCTGTCATTATTACTAGTCAAGAGATTAATAGTACATATTAATAGGACAACCCCCCTTGAACAAGCACGCACTTCAGCAGACCAATATATACCTTAAACTTTGTTGTAAGACGGCGCCAAAAACACCAGAGTCGACGTTGCCTTGACGCTTACCTTCCCTTCCCCGCCGCCCCCGCCCTTCTTCTTCTTCTTCTTCTTCTTGCTCTTGCTCGCGGCGCCCGCTTCCTTCTCGCCGCTGCCGCCGGCCTCTCGCTCCCCTTCCGCCCCGCCCTCCGGCTTCTCCTCCTCGCCGGCGGCGTCCCCCCCCTTAGCTTTGCCGCCTTTGCCGCCCCCGCTGTCCCGCCTACCCTTGCCCTTGCCGGTGGTAGTGGTAGTAGTAGTAGTCGGGGGGTCCTTGTCTTTGTCGTCGCCGGTGGTGGTGGCGGCGTCGTTGGTCTTGGAGGACTTGGTCGAACCAGCAGCAGCAGCAGCAGCAGCAGCAGCAGTTGCGTCGGTGGCGTCCTTGAGCTCCTCTACGAGGGTGTTGGAGTCACCCAGCAGCGCCTCCAGCCGGATGCGCCTGCAGGCGTAGTGTTGTTGTGTTGGCTTTTATTTATGTTTGTTGTTTTCGTTCTCGATGACGTTGTCGACGTTGGTTCGGCTGTACGTACGAGGAACAACTTCCGTGCCACCTTAGGCAAGGACGAGATATCACCACTACAACAACAATCTCCAAGTCAGCCCAACCCTGTCATGACTACACCCGAGTTTCCCTTGCCCCCGAACGTACATCCTACTGTATCATACGGTACCGCAACACGCTCGAAACACATCCAGTATTCGCACACCGTGTGGTTTGCTGCGGCCAAATACTCCCGAAGGGAATCATGTGGTGGGCCCGGTGTGGTACGCCGCGGTGTAAGGTGGTACAATATTCAAAAACGGCCAGTGTGCGGGCAACAAAAACAGCACTCCTCCCCACGTAGCCCCCCCCCCCTCGACTCGACCTGCGTAACCCCCCTCCACTCAGTCTACGGAGCCCCCCTTGACCAATCATATGACCTCGACGACCTACCTCTCTTGGTCGTCCTCCACGATGTAGGTCATCTCCGCGGCCTTCTTGACCATGCGCGCCTTGAGAGCGGACACCGGTTCTTTGAGGTCGGCGATCACCTCGAGCGGCCCGAAGGTGCTGCCGCTGCGGGTAGGGTCGCGGGCTGTGGCGGTACTGTTGCCTGCGTTGGACCGGACCAACAAGAATACAATAAAAATGCAGTACAGCAGTAGACTGAAAAACATGCAATAAAAAAAAAGGTAAACACACGCACATCGACCGGGCAAAAAATTGAAAAAATACGTCACCAAAAATCCCAACATTGTACACGCACACACACACATGGACCGAGGTTTGCGCATGGGTTCAGACCTACAGCACCAGCTTATCGTAACAATCCCTCGTACAGCAACAAAAAAAGAATCAATATGTGAGCAAGCCTACAGTATTCATGAAATACGAAACCAGGACGTGTGGGGAGAACAGAAGCGCCAAAACGGGAGGTAGCAATCAGTCAAATTTGTCGCGGCCGATCCGACGACACTTGCCGTCTAAAATAACAACACCACGCAGAGAGCAAGCCAATAAAAAAAACAGAAGGCTGCATGTCTACGCTGCCTGCCTGCTGCTGCTGCTGTTGACCTACACACAGGACGTTCACTCCAACTTGTGGGCGGCAGACAAGCCGACACTGACCGCTGAGTCAAACAAACGAAACACAGCGGCGGCTGCTGATACTGTACTACCGCAAAAGCTCTCGACTTTAAATAGACTCGAATTATGTCCAGTACCCAGCCGGTTTTCCTCCACTCACTAAAAAGACTCCAACACATCCCCTTCGAACGTGGGTACATCTCGAACGGGTAGTCTTTCTGTGTTGTGTATTTATTATTTTCCTAAAAGCTCTCACCCACGCGGACGTAGAACTTGACCAAGGCCTTCCCAGTGGCCGGCGGGGCCCCCCACTGCAGCATCAGCTGGGCCCCCTCCGAAATCCTCGTCGCAAACAGGCTGGCGCCTGTAGAGGACTCATCCAGCGTGTTCCCAGACTTGGTGTTCTCCAGGCGGACCGTCTTCACTAGCCCCACGAGGGCTAACTCCTCCTTCGCTCCGCTTGCGGGGGCGGCGGCGGTGCCCCGGGTGGGGGGAGGGGGGGGGGGTAGCAGGGCTTGGATTTGCGAGGAGGGGATGGTGTTTTCCTTGAGGGCGGGTACGAGGCCCAGGAGGCAGAACGCCTTGAGGTGGGGGATGCTGGTGGCGTGGACATCGCACTCGAGGTGTAGCAGCACCCGTTGGCCTTCGTGGGTGGCCACTGTGTTCGCAGTGGTTCACGGGGGGGGGGGGGGGGGGGGGGGGGGGCTT